AAAGAGAAAATGCTGGAAAAACTCAGCAGTTCTGGCAGCATCTGCGGAGTGAAAAACAGAGTTAATGTTTTCAGTCCAGTGACGCTCCTTCACACCCCTGCCAGGGTCACTGGACTCTAAATGTTAGCTCTGCTTTCTCTCCCCATAGATGTTGGCCAACCTGCTGAGTTTCTCCAGCAATTCCTGTTCCTATTTCAGATTTCCAACTTCTGCAGTTCTTTGTTTTGTTTTAGTATAATAATTAAGATTTACCCATATCATTGCGTTCTGTTCAAACTCAACAAAGGTTTTCTCTGTAGGGAAAAGAAAAACTGTCTTTATTGCAGAATGTCCAGCACTGGTCAGAGATTTCAGTTCCACTTGTTCAGATTTGCTAAGAACTTTGTACTTATTGTTACACTTCCAGACATGGGTTAGGTTTAATGCATCGATTGTGTATCAGTTTATTGATATGATCCTCACCTGACGGCCACCCTCCTCTTCCACATCTCCTCATCCTGCTTCCGTTGGCCTCCAATGGCAGGTTGAGCAAGCTATTGTTCTGCTCCAATTTCTTCCAGTCTGCTGGATATTTGTAAAGCTTCCTCTAGCAGCCAAGCCACCAGCTCCAGTTCTTTTTTCCTGCCATCACATCTCCTGATTTCCGATTCAGTCCTCCCACCTTTTGCTTTGTTGCATTGAACATAAAGGTTGAAAATGTTTTGATCTGAATGCAAAATTATCTCATATTTCTCTCGACTTCTCTATTGAGTGTTTTAAAATCTCTTTAATTTTCTAACACCATTTTCACAGTATCTAGTTTCTCCATGGTCAGGAAGCTGTACCCTTTTGAGATCCTTCCTTGTGCAGAGACCGTCTGACTCGGGCTGGAACAAAGGTCAGCTGCAAGAATCTTTACAGATAGTTACTTACAGCGAAAATAACATGAAATAACATCAGTATTACCTGACACTAGAATCACCAACAATTTTAACAATTTACACAAGGGATGACTGACCCTTTCTGAAGATTTTTGCACACAATGTTTCATGATACGATGATACATCTCTCACGCCAATGCAATTTCTCTCAGAGTAACTTGTTCTGTAAATTCAATGGGAATATTAACTTCCCAGTTTTTATTTTATTGTTTGTTGCCAGGATTTCTGTGGAAATGAAATGAAGTTTCTTTACAAGGACACAATGGAGTATAGAAGGCATATTGATACACACTGGAATCCAATACCTGAATGAGTGCTGGGCTCATAGTGCTTTCAAAAGAAAATTGGATACATCTTTGAACAGGAGAGACAAAAACAAAAACTATGAGAGAAGAGCAGGGGAATGGAACAAATTGGTGGACCCTTTAAAAGAGCTGGTACAGGAAGGATGGGCTGAAAGGCCTTATGTTTGGCCTATGATTCCATGTCATACACACCACATTTAAGACTATTTCATGCAATTTGCAAAAGGATTGTACAAACATACAGGTTCTACAACAATTGTCAGACACCAAATAATTAGAACATTATCTGTAGGCACAACTTCCCCAAAATATTCACCTATCTACAGGCAAATAAAGGCCAACTCTCAAGTTCTGGCTCCAAAGCTGGCTACTTTATACTGGTGACTAATTCATTAAAGATCTGAGTTTCCAGCCAGGTGAATTTGATTGTCCACCTTTGACTTAAAGAATCACACCATATATTTCATATTTTTGAAAAATTCTTTCACAGAATGCAGTGTCGCTGGCTGGGTCAGTATTAAAGGCCTATACTTAATTGCCCTGGAGAAATTGGCAAGGAACTGCCTTCTGAAACCACTACAGTCCTTGGGATGTGGAGACACCCACTGTGCTTTCAGGGAAAGAATTCCAGGATTTTGATACAGTGACAACAAAACAACAATGATATATTTCCAAGTCAGGAAAGCATGTGACTTAGAGGGGAAGTTGCAGGTGGTGATGCTCCCATGTAACTGTTGCCTCTTGACCTTCTTGGTGGGATCACCTTTCTAGTAATAGTTTTCAGTGCTTTTTTTTAAAAAAAACTACACCTGAAACTCACAAGACTGCATATTACTGCGGTTATTCTGCCGCAGACACCACTCCCACAGACTGCTGTATGACATTAAGTTTCTCCCCCAGCATTCCCTGAAGGGGATATCTTGATAGTTTATGTTGTAGCAGGCCTCAACATTCTTGAAATTAGACTGAATCATTACCACAGTTATAATACTAGGTAACATACAAGTGCAACACGGAAGAATAATTTTTCCTTTGTACTAACTTTTTAAAAGAGTTTTAATCGGCAGCACTGGAAAGGGCAGCATTTATTTCTCACAGCTAATTGGCCTTGAATTGAAAGACTTACTATATTTTCAGAGAGCAGCTAAGAATCAATAACCTTACTGTGGGCTGGAGTCACCTGGAGACCAGGTAAGAAGGGCAGATTTCCTTTCTTAACTGAAATATGAACCAGATGGATTGCCCATTAATTATTTTGGTCATTTCTCCTGCTTCATATTTCAGGTTTATTTTGGCATGGTGAGATTTGAACCCACATTCCCAGAGCACTTATTTGAATCACTGGTCAGGTGGTAATACCAGTACGTCACCATTTCCCGTAATGTTTACCTTGGGTGAGTGGATACCTAACTTTATCTTAGAGGACCTCAGCCACACTGTGAATTAATGCATTGGAATGAGTGTCAGTGAATGTGTTCTCATGAGGTCCAAACCAAGGAGCAGTTTCTTTTCAGGAAATGTTGCAAGGGAAGAAACTTAATGTATCATAAAGTAGGGGATCAGCAGTCTGTGGGAGTGGTGTCTGTGACTGATTCTGACTGGATTAGCTTGGTTGGATATTTTCTCATTGTGTTACAATACTTCTCACTTTAAGCATCTGACTGGAAAAGCTCACCAATTGTTCAAATAAAATGAATACAGAATGTAGTAGAAACCTATAGTAAACCCAAATGATTTCTGGTTTCATTCCAGCAAAGATATCACGTTTATTAGTCTTCGTGGTGGTGCATATCATCCTTCAGTGAAATAAGCAGTGACCACACGAGCAGTTACGATATAGGACATTCCTCAAATTCAACCTCTTTTCCATCAATTATCTTCACCACTAGCCCCAACACCCCCACAGCCTTGAGATCCTTGATGTCACACTCATACAAATGCTGTCTTGATATCAGGGGTAATCACTCACACCTCACCTTACCCCTGGAGTTCAACTCTTTTCTCCATGTTTGGACCAAGGCTGTAATGAGGTCAGGAGCTGAATGGTTTTGGGCTCCAACAGGGCCAATTATCAATGAGCAGGTTATTACTGAGCAGGTGCTGCCTGGTAGCATTGTTATTGACACCTTCCATCACTTTGAAATTAGACTTGTAGGGTGAAATTGACTAGATTGGATTTGTCCTGCATTTTGTGCACACAATATACCCTGGCAATTTTCCACATTGTTAGATAGAAGCCAGTGTTGTGGCAATATTGGAACAGCTTGAATAGTGACATAAGAAAGCAGGAACTGTCGATGCTGGAGAATCTGAAATAACAAGGTGTAGAGCTGGATGAACACAACAGGCCAAGCAGCATCAGAGGAGCAGGAAAGCTGACGTTTTGGGTCTGGACCCTTCTTTTTAGTGACATGGCTAGTTCTAGAGAATATGTCTTCAGTACTATTGTCTGAGTGTTCAGGGCCCATTGTCTAAGCATTGAAGTCCAACATCCAGAGCACATTCTGCACATTAGCCTTCCTCAGTGTTTCCTCCAAATGATGTTCAACATGACGAAGCACTGATTCATCAACCAGAGGGTCACTATAGGTTGTAATCAGCAGAATGCTTCCTTGCTCATGTTTAACCTGTTTGACCATGAGACTTCATTGGATCTGCAGTTAATGTTGGGGACTTCCAGTGTAGCTCACTCCTGTCTGTATACAACTGTATCATCATCTCTGGTATGGCTGTTCTGCTGATGGTGATGGTGGTGTCCAGGACATTATCTGTAAAGTATGATTTTGTGAGTATGAATATGTCAGGCTGTTGATTAATTAGTCTGTGGGACACTATGCCAAATTTGGCACAAGCTCCCAGATATTGGGAAGGCGGACTTTGCAGTATTGACAGGGCTGGCTTTGCTGTTTTTGTTTCTGCTGCTGGGTTGATTCTGGCTGGTCCTTCCAGGTACATTCCTTTCTTTAGGTTTTGTAGTAGTTTTCATATAACTGTGTGGCTTGCTAGGCTATCACAGAGGGAAGTTAAGAGTTAATCACATTACTGTCTGGAATCATACGTATGCCAGCCTCAGAAAGTATTCCTTCTGTACAGGACATTAGTAAACCAGGTGGGTTTTTATGATAATTGACAATAGCTTCATGGTCACCATTAGACCATCCAGATTTTTATTGAATTCAAATTTCACTTTCTGCCATGTTGGAGTTCAAACCCATGTTCCCAGAATATTTGTGTGGGGCTCCAGTGACACTACCACTACACCACTACTGCTGTCATCTGATCTACAAAGGTTATCAAGCAGAATATCAGCATCTCAATCCATCCTCAAAATTTCCTCAAATCAAACTTAGATATTTGCTCTGTGCAGACCATTTACTGTCTGGAGACTGCTTTTCTTTCCTAGCACCTCCGCTAAAGACTGTCCATTTCTCTTCTCAAACAGACATCGAATCAGCTGACAATTCCCTGGTTATGCAGACTAACCCTTAAAATCATTTAATTGTTATGTATAAATACTATTTCAGGTTTTACTATCATCCCCTCCAGACAATTACCCAATATTTTTTCTAACCTAGAAATTGTCTTTGTTGTACATACACACTTTTGTAAGAGTGGGGTTGGATGCACTTCCAATCTTAAGTCATGCTAGAGATCTTCTAATGTTGGTTTTTTTCTTAAATCATGTGATTATAATTCACAACAAACAGTCTATGTTCATTGTATTTTGCATGCATCATATATGGATTTTAACCATTTCTCTGTCTGCTTTTTTCAGTGGAATCATGTTCCTTGCTGGGATCCTCTTCTCATCAGAATTTAGGGTACAGTCCTGAATCATCATTGCTACTCCATCATATTAACATAATTTTGAAGGTAGGAGATACAAACTTTCTATCATATCCCAAAGTCAAAACTCATACTGAAATATCCTGGGTTAGAATAATGTGCTTCAGCAGCTAATGCTGTATTATTATGATGCATCATGCAATGTTTGTCTAGCACTGTTGATGATGACTGTACATCATTTAGAAACTTCCCAGAAATGCCAATCATCACAAGTTGCTGTAAGTCGCAATATTTTTGTTACCTGATTATGTACCTTGATGTCATTGGCTAAACCTTGTTTCTTGCTGTTGGACATCCCTTTATCAGTTACATTTATTGGTGTTTCTTGTTGAAATGTACAAAAAATTGTGCTTATCTGGCTTTCAAAAACTTCTGTCATTTCTTACCTATTTCACTTAATTGTTCTAGATCACTCCAAATGATTAGTATACCAATTATATGATACATATACCAATTATGGAGTATTATGTGGGAAAATGTGAAATTATCCATTTTGACAAATGGAATAAAGAAGAGCTCTGAGATGCAGTGGAATGTGGGCATTATAGTGCATGAGTCACAAAGTGTTTGTAATCAATTTCAGCAAGTACTTAGGGAAGCTAATGGAACATTTTTGGGGAGGGGAAATTGAATTTAAAAGTAGGGAGGTTAAGCTTCCGTTATGCAGGGTGTTTGTGAGACCATATCTGGAGTACTATGGAGACTAGTACTATGTATTAGTCTTTCTTATTAAGGAATGATGTAAGTGCATTGGAAGCAGTTCAGAGAAGGTTTGCTAGACTAACACTTCGAATGGTATGCTATCTTTTGAGCAAAGGTTGGACAAGCTAGGCTTCTATCCACTTGAGTTTAGAAGGGCAAGATGTGACTTTATTCAAAATATGTGAGATCCTAAGGGATCTTGACAGCGTACAAGTGGAGAGAATGTTTCCTCTTGTGGGAAAATCTGGAACTAAGGATTATTATTTAAAAATAAAGTGTCAGATTAAGACAGATGAGAAGAAATATTTTGTCTCAGATGGTCATGATCCTTTGGAACTCGCTTCCTAAGAAATTGGTAGAGGCAAAACCTATGAATATTTTCAATACAGAAGTGGATAGATTCTCAATAATAGCAAGAGGATGAAGGGTTATCAGGGATAGGTGGGAATGTGGAATAATGAAATCAGTCATGATCTTATTGAATGGCAGAGCAGGCTCAAGGGGCCAAGTGGGCAACCTCTCCTAATTCCTTTGTTTGTATGTATGTATTTAATTATGTTGTTACTCAGCTCTGTAGCTGGTGTCATGACCACATTATATCACAGGAAGCACCCTGCTCTGTATTATGTGTAGACAGCTTAAGGAGCAGAGGAATCGTGTAATCATGTCCTGACTAGTTGCCAACCTTGTGTCAACTTATTTGCTACAATGGAAAAAGCAGGTCTAAGGCTTACTTACTTTTACTGAAATGCTTGGGGTGACTCTGACTCCTGTTCTGTGTATGGCACTGGTAGAATTCACTGTGACAACACACAATCAGTGAATTACCATAGGGCCATAAACAGAGCAGAGAAATAACCAATATACTGCAATGCCGACCTTGGAAAAGCACCTTATGTAGGCATCGCACCCAAACCCCATGGAGTATGATAAAACCCTGCTTCAACAACTAGGCACTACCAACAATGCAATGCTAATAGCTTCCTGTTGGAGTGGAAGTGAGAAGGTGCATGTGTCATAAATTACCAATTGAAAAATGTTTCTGCTAATCTCTGACTTATCTTGTACTACATACATCAAATGATACACTGGAATGGGTAATGGATGGAACTTTCCACCTTAAAGGGGAAGCACTTTTATAAAAAAAAGTGCATGACTAGATCTTTTCATTCGCTTGTGAGCACTTGATACAATGGTGCATCATATTGGGCATTAAGTTGTCGTGGTGATGAAGTGTAGGACTATTTTGGTTCAACTACCTCCAGGAAATAAGAAGGATCATTAAAGACTTCTGTATGAATACTAGGGCCTCTTTAAGTGAGCTGGAGGCAAAAATGCAAGTAACTAAGATCATTTCTTAACTGGAATGCATATTATCTTTAGTCTTTAGTAGAGACAAGACTTGTTCTACCCTCAACAAACTGTGGTGCCATAAGGTTATATGCAATGGGTTGCCTCAGCATCTAGAGTGGGATGGTTTGATGTAGAAAATAGAAATTCATAAAATGGCAAGTTTAAAAGTTATTGTTAGGGCAGAGTGCACATCAACTCATGAATACTTTAAGGTGTTGAATGTTGAATAGCTTTAGCAAATCAGACATTCATTCACAGTCCAGATCTGAATATTGTACATCCTGACATGTGCAACTAATGTCTGAACTGTCATCAATTGAAGTTATTGTAGTTTTTTCTCCCTCGCAAACATTGACAAAGTACTTGATTGTCACTAATAAATATGACCATCCACACTAAAGGCAGTAAAGAAATAAAGGAAAACCAAAGAGCAAAGGTTTCAGATTTCAGAAGATGAAATATTCATTGTTTAACAATTTCACCTCCATCCCCAACAGAAATAAACATAACAGCACAGTGCAGAATCAGCCTTTTAACCATAAAAGACTTAGACTGTGGTCACACACTGTTAAGGAGGTTTCTGAACTTCCAAAGGATTGATATACATGTAGTGAGGATTTGACAAACTCAATTGCTATAAGCAACTTTTAGGATTAAAGAAAAGCTGAAAAAAAAAACATATCCAAAGACTTGGTTGTACTGAAATTGTGATTACCAAATGTCTCAAGACACTGGAGGAGTAAAACATCACCTCCTCAGTCAGAAGTATCCAGTAAGTGTGAGATAGGGATTTTGTAGGAAAACAATTATCCCCAATATTAGATACAGTGAAAAAAAAACTTTATTCATAACCATTTAGAAATTACTGTTAGTCATAGTGGTCAAAAGCTTCATGTATATATTCTCATTCTCGGCCCAAATTTTTAGGGCAGTATTGACTTATTTACCTTATTTAGAATGTTAACGCATTGTTATTTAATGTGTTTGTCTATTGACATTAGCACTAATCATCTTTAGACTATCTTTCCATTTCTTTTGCATTTTCTAATTGATCACCTTCTCCTGAAGGGGTTTGATCTGCTGGTTAAGTATGTCCCAAGGTGTAGAGAGATGGGGGAGTGAGGGGTGGAGTGGTGTCACTGGTATCTTGCTCAACTAACCATTACTCATCTATCTGCCTTAGCAATGCGTGCATTAGCCTACTGAACCATGGAGACATTGAACAAAGCTCAGTTTTCATACTTTGTATGTTTTAGCAGGAATCAGCAGGTGCTTTTCAGGGTGATTTTCTTTCTCTTAAACCAGGGTAATAATTGTAGCACATCTGCCATTGCCCTACCTATGCCACATGAACTGTTGACTGAACTTTGGACATTCATGCTCTTAATGGCTCAATTCCCTTTTGGGTAAACTTATTGAACGTATGCTGGGGCGGTATGAGTTTCTTAACAGGCTTCCTAATGATTAGTAGCTTCATGAGAAAAAGAAAACTTCCTTCCTATCTTGGGCAACATAAGTCATTCAGTAACACTATAACATTTGCAGTAGTATGTTTGTATTTCTGGTTCATTTCTGATCCAAGGTATTAATGAAACAATTTTTATTTTCTTGTCTCTACAGTTGAGACAGGTACGTTAAAGTCCGTTGAATTGAACCTGAAGCAGTTACTTTCTCAAGGACACTAATAAACCACAGGAAGACACAGTCTTCAGGCCATGTGGAACCAACATCAGAACTTTGCCACTCAGGGACCAATCCAACTCATACTGTGCTGCCAGGCAAGCAAAGAATATGCCTTGCTTGTGCTAGATGTACTATCGTGCCTTTTCTTTCTCTCTCTGCACAGACTGGAAGATCTTCAATAACAAACCAAGGAACTTATAAGATGAACAAGAGAGATGCTAGTTCTTCAATACCAGTCTCAACATCTAGGAGACAGCTGGAATAGGATACATGTTGGCTTCATTTGGTTATTGACAGCCTCCATGCCAATTTGCAATGTGGCCTGCAGATGCATGCAGTTGTAATGGGACAGCCTAGAACAAGATGAATGGGGTACAGTCAGCTAGAAGAGGAAATTAGCTTCTGTTCTATCTACTCTCAATTCTTGGACACTTCAAACTGGCTAGTGGAGGTTGCAATTCAGAACTCTATTGAGACCTCTGAAAGTCCACTTGTGGAGGTTTCAGGGCTCTGATATGCAGCTCTCATTTGATTGAAGTGACTCTGAATCAAAAAATGTCTCTTTAGACAACTCTCGAACAATGAGTTCAAAAGATTGACATAAAGGCTGTGCATAGGGTAAATTCAACAAGGTAATAGAGTTTTGGAAGAATGTGAAAACTTAATTTCCCTGCAATAGTGCCCAGGATTTTCCCAGGCCTTCCTTGATCCATCACTGTACTTTGGCAGAATCTTGGAGCAGTGGTTAACAAAAAATGCCTTTCAAAACATCCTTTTGGAAGCTCTACTTATCTTTCACTCAAGTCCTGCCAAATGTCAGGCTGAGCTCAGTCGTGACCCTCTTCCCCCGAGTCAGAAGATCGAGACTTTAAGCCCCAGTTGAAGATTTAAGTAGATAGGCAGGTACGGCAAGTGATTTTTTTCTTTTTTAGTGAACATTAATTCCTGAGAAGTATTCTGTCTCCTTCTGCTTCCTGTCAGAACTCTGTGTAAATGGGCTTTCTCACAGATCAAAGGATGAAAGTGCCCCAAGTTGACACTGAAATAGTAGTCTTGCTCCAAGATGGTACACAATGAAAGGTGGGTGAGATGGAAGCTGTTACTAAGCTGCTGCTCTGAGTAAAAGGGGCTTTAATTGAGATTGAACCATGTCATAGCTGAATTGCAAGTACTTTGTACTGCCAGTGGAAGTCTGAAACAGGAAATATTTCATACTCCTTAACTAAGCGCTAGTACAAAAGTTGAAAAATAAGTTATTGTCAGTAAATTAATGGTACTATTTGCATTTT